TCCTCGCAAATATTCTAGCTACGGGGATTGATCAATTTGCTTCATTTTATTCAATTGCTACTGTAGTATGCAACTGACAACATACAGCGAAATATGCCTGGTAAGAAATGGTGTAATCTATTTGTGTGTGTGTCTTCTTTGTTAAAATGCACAAAGGAGAAACATTGCTTTGAACTTGTGAACTGTCAAAAATTATGACATGTATGATGTCTGACTTTATATAATATGCAGTCATGATTTCAAGATAACAACTATATTTACCTTCACGTTTTCTGTAGTCACCAGCCCAAACAGGCAGGAGGTTAACCTCTTCATACATCGTGCAGTTTTTACCGTTGGCTGACAATTTTCTTCATCAGGACATTCATCAGACTCAAAGATAAACAAGACATCACCACGAACCACAGAAGCTGAATCTGTCTGCTGGTCATTGTCGGGATCACGGAGACCGACACATGAGCCGAAGATGAGTTCAAACAGTTGCTGGAACAACATAGTTGGGTTATCATTATCATCTGTGTTTTTCAGACGTCCGGCAATTGCATGGAGCAGGACTTTGACTCTCAGAGACAACATCGGACCATCATTCCACCAATCAGAATCTTTCACTGAGGGATTCATGGCAACAATGTTATGGTAGACCAGAGCGTTGTCTGGTTGTTCTAGCTGAAGATAGCTGTTAAGTTCGGCCTTAACAATATATGGGTCAGTGAGCTCTTTGTGTCCAATATCTTTGAACTTGTGGATGACGTCAATAACATCCCCATGTTCCCTAGCCAGTTCTAGAACTTGAATCTTTCTTTTGAGTCGAGTATCGGGTATTTGTTCTCTCTCAATTTCTGTAAGAAGTGTTGTGAACGCTTGCCATACTTCTTGTTGACTGCCCTGCAGCTCTGGCAAGATGTGGATTAAATCTGCAGCATTCATTACAGCTTTGGTCAGCTTATTTATTCCCATTTCTAAAAATTCATTCTTTTTTTCAGTATTATAAAGCTGTAAATAGCAAATACCAGCGTGCTCATATGCAGTGATTACTGACACTCTGTTGGTTATGGAAAGATTACCATCATTTGTAATGTTGTTGAACTGTTTCAATGCGTCGTTTATTTGATTTGTGTCCTTCAGTAGTATCCCCAGATCTAAGACCGCAGGAAGATTCTCGTTTGCCAATTCGACTGCTTTTTCCAAACATGTCCGGGCTTTCTGTACATTCACATCATCTTTATTTAAACGTAAGTCATTTTTATACTTTTTCACAGAACATTCCAGAAAGGTTTTAGTTTTCCAGCCATTTATTTGGACATTTCCTCGAGCTAATTCTATGCCTCCAGCAGTCCTATGTTTACCACCAATGCTTTGAGTACTTTCATGGGTAAATGCAATGTTACCGCCACTATAATGAGAACTCCCAGCATCCCTCGAATCAGTGTCCATCTCGGTTATTTCTAGACCCATTACATCGCGGCTCATTCGTTGGTTTACAGATCTTTTATCTGCAAGTCGAGAATGTTTATTCCGGGATGTACTAGACACATCTTTTGACTGACCCTGAATTTGTCTTTCCACTTTCTGCTGACCCACTTTGGTCTGACGAGTTAGTCCTTCTGACCTTCTTCGATGTCTTTTCAGCAGCGTTTCTGCTTTTCGTCTATAGCATATGCCAAGATGATGGTAAGCGGTGGAATCCTCTTTAATAGCAATAGACTTTTTCAACAATTCAATGGATCTATCAATACTAAATCTTTTCAAGGCTTTGCCACACTGTACCAGAACACTCGGTATGTTCATTCCGTGTTTTAATGCTCTGTCACACAGTTCCTCAACACCGAATCCATGAAACATCTTCTCTTCTGATGGAGGTAGCTTGAAAGGATAAAAAAGCCGAAGAATAACTAACTGAGCATAAGCCTGTGAACTCAGTCGGTCATCGGCATTCTCAGCAACATCGAAAAGACAGTCTGCTGCCATTTTGTGATAATCGGTTACAGTCAGATGCTCCGAACTAGAGCAGACGATGTTTATATGTGTCATTCTTCGGTAAGCCTGACCAAGGCCAAATCTGCGTAGATAGTTAATGGGTGTTTGTGGTAGAGCACAGAATAAGGTTATCGCCCGCTGCAAGTTTAGGCCACCAAGCCGGCTGTAGTAATACGCTTGTTCTGCTTCGGCATCGGTGAAATATGTTTGAAAATTCTTATCAGATTTCATCTTCTCCAGGTCTTCGAGGAATTTCAGAGCTTGGACGTCATCTTTCATTAGCAACACAATGAAAGAACGGTTTGCCAAAGAAGCTATATTTTTGCTTCTAGTTGACTCAATAACCTGGCCGTTTAACTGCAAAGCCTCGTCCCGTTTATCCAAACGAAACAGTACCCAGGTTAAAAGATTCCTTTTGATGATTAGTTCGTTGTCGCAGCCATCGTTGATGGCCAGCTCAGAGTCAAGGTTATGTTGCACTGCTTTAAGTCTTGCTGTAGACAAATTGTCAGTGCCAGCCAGATTGAAGGCACAAGGGAAATTGTCCATTCTTTTCCTATAATCTGCAATTTCAGTGTTTGCTTCCATTCTTGTATCGTACTGTGAATAAATAAAATTGATCGCTCAATTTATTTTTCTACAAAATATATCCGGATGTAAATATAATATATATATATATATATTTGAATTCTTTCTTTTAGAAATTACAGTTTGAAAGACTGATACCCAGTTTCGTAAACAGCCACTATTCTGATGCCAAATTTTGTAAACAGCCACTATTCAAATGCCCAGTTTCGTAAACAGACACTATTCTGATGCTCAGTTTTGTAAACAGACACTATTCTGATGCCCAGTTTTGTGAACAGCCCCTATTCAAATGCCCAGTTTCGTAATCAGACAATATTCTGACGCCCAGTTTTGTAAACAGCCACTATTTTGATTCCCAGTTTCGTAAACAGCTACTGTTCTGATACATGTTTCGTAAACAGCCACTATTCTGATGCACAGTTTCGCGGCAATTCACGGCTGAAAATAACCGGCTGCTCAATGTGGCGAGTATCCTAAACACATTTATAATATTAAATCTAAGTGTAAATATACTTCTAGTAAAATGCATCTAATTTCTCCCGAACACAGGCAAACCTAATTTCGCAGTGGACAAAGAACAAATAGCAAACAATAAATTAGTGAACCTGTTAAATAGATGAATGACAAGAAATGGGTTTTAAAAAAAAAGGGGGGGGGTGGGGTGGGGGGGGGGGGTCATAATGATAATGTGGTTTGTAAAACCCTGCTAAAAAAAGAAAAATTGATTTCTGTGGTCCTAATACTGCAGATGATTTTTATATGTGCTAATTTAGTAAACCATTAACACTGATATTCTCAGTTGTCCATGCTACCGTAGAGGATCTATGGTGGGTCATTTTAACCACGCAGTCCCCATGAGGGATGCTTTTTTTTTTTTTTTTTTGTTATTTGAAACCCCACCCTGGCTTTTTTCGGGTGCCTTAAATATAACCGGGTCATAAATATGGCCTGACGGCTGAACGGGGTTTCTGGGACCTCTCCATAGGTGATCCTCATTGGCATGATAGAACTTTTTGTTTAGCTTTGTGCGATGTCCTGGTGGGGTACAACGTACTATACTTTGGCGGCTTTTTCAAAACATTTCCGAACTTTTTGTACATTCAAATCTGTAAACAGTCACAACTGTCCCGATGAACCATTTTTAGGGCGGTGTTCTAAAGAGAGAAAAAAAAAAGGGGGGGGGGGAGGGGGAAGGGGGTGGGTTGGTCATGACTCTGTGGATTTCCGGTTGCATGGCTTGTGCTATCGCCACGGACTGTACGAGTTGGGATATTTAACTTTTCGCCATTTAAAAAAAAAAAAGTAAAAACCCAACATCACCTTACCGGGGTTGAAACCATCGACTTTGGCACCGGTTTCAAGCCACTGGTTCAGTTGTAGAACGACATGGCAGTGGACTACCCAGAGTGACAACAGCAAAGGAGAACCTTCTTATTCGGCTTCCCATCGCAGAGACAGGTTTACAACAGCCTTTTCAACTACTAAGTTATTGCCTCCAAGACCTCATATTTCTGATCAAACTGTTTGGAACAAACTTTAGGCATAACAGCCACACAGGAAACCTGTCCTAACGCGTAGCCAAGGCCAAAATCGACTTTTCTGGGCCAACCAACAAGGTCCCTGAGCAGATGACAATGAACGGAGAAGTGTCTGGTTCAGAAGAATGTCAAAAATGTGATTATGATTCAGAAGCTATGCGTTTCTTTCTCTCCCTCTGTGTGTGTGTGTGTGTGTGAGTGTGTGTATGTGTGTGTGTGTGGGTGTATGTGTGTACTGTATAGAGTTTTATTTTCCAGCCCATGGTTTTGGGTATTTTGAAGAAGCTGAAATATTTTGGTCACATCAAGCGCCATGGCGGATTGAATAAAATATTAATAGCAGAAGGCATGTTTTCAGGAAAGAGGGGTAGGGGCCCACTAACACAAAGATGGGCACAGGATATAAGTGACTCCTTGAATGTGAATGTACACGAGGCGGGAGCGACGTTCTGCAAAGGACTGCTAGATGATGATGATGACGACGATGACAAAGTAATGCTTCTTTACGCAGCGAGAACTTAACTTATATATCTTCATTAGTTTTATAAATAATTAGTTTTATAAATGCTCGAAAATACAGAAACATTTTGATCACCTGTGTGAGAACTCAAACTCCAGCCAATGTGCTAATACTTCACGCTAATCAGTCCAAAGAGCATGACACGGACAAACAGTTCCATAACAACCAAAATAGGATCATGAAGAATGTGAAAACCAGTGCCTAACTTGTACACCTGTAGTGCGTGCCTAAATATATATGCAGTTATATCTTGCAGTTGCATAACTACACAGTTGACTTATCTCGGCTTAAAAAAGAAAGTTCTTTATCACATGTAACACAAAGCTATCGATAAAACCCGGTAGTGTCATTCGAGATTGTCCACGATGCACAGTTTGATAATACTGCCATTTTATATTTTCTATCTGGTTGAGAATACTCTACATTGAGTTATGAGTTAGATTATCTTCACAGCACTCAGGACACATCCATAGGCGCTCAGATTCCCCTCTCAACATATTTATCAGCGTCGTGTGGTTAATAGTGCTAGTCCTATGTTGGTTAACAAGACTCCGTGTACGTCCGGTGTGCTTCTCATACTTGGCTGTGCCGATATTGATTCCCAATTCTCGCATTCGTATCAGTGATGTGGACAGGTTGCTTCCAAACATTGTCATCTACATTATCATAGCCTTATCCATACACGGCTGCAGGTTAACTCTTTGAGTCCCAGTGAGTTTAGCCTCACAGGCCCAGGGGTTAGTAAAGAGAGTCATACAATCGGCGCATCATGCGTTCATTGGGCTTCTAGGTAGGAACCATTGAACGTATGATGCGTTCCTCAGGACTCAAAGAGTTAAACAGGGCTGGTATGGCGGTTACAGGTGGCCTCACTTAAATTCATAGGAGACTGAATTTTAGGCTTGATCTGTTGGTCTGCCACCAGCATGGATTACTTTCTAAGTTTTGCAGTGAGAATAATTCAGGTCCTGTTGTCCTGCCATCCAAATTGAAATCTTCTTGTGATAGGCTGGAAAACGACCAAGGCTACTGTTTAGCAGCTCAACGATTTTGATTTATTCAGGTTTTAAAATGACCGAGAGGCTACAGGAACAGTTTTTAATTTTAGACAGTAAAGTGGAGAAAAGTCTGGCCACTGGGTATAAAAGGCAAATTAACTCAGTATTTGTCTACTATTACTACTACTGCTGCTGCTGCTGCTGCTACTACCACTACTACTACTACTACTACTACTACTACTACTACTGCTGCTGCTGCTGCTGCTGCTACTACTACTACTACTACTGCTGCTGCTGCTGCTGCTGCAGCTGCTGCTGCTGCTACTACTACTACTACTACTACTACTACTACTACTGCTGATGATGCTGCTGCTGCTGCTATTACTACTACTACTACTACTACTACTACTACTACTACTACTACTACTACTACTACTACTACTACTACTACTACTACTACTACTACTACTGCTGCTGCTGCTGCTGCTGCTGCTGCTGCTACTACTACTACTACTACAGCTGCTGCTACTACTACTACTACTACTACTACTACTACTACTAATACTACTACTACTACTACTACTACTACTACTACTACTACTACTACTACTACTACTACTACTACTACTACTACTAATACTACTACTATTACTACTTATGCTTCTTTTCTTTCTTCCATCCCTTAAGGTGTCTAGTAAGATAAAATTGTTGTCTTTTTGCATACCCAGCATCGATACTAACCTGACAGATTCAATGGAAAGGTCGTTTGCTTGCCAGACCACCCACTCCAAAAATATGTTGATATACAAGACAGTAAACGCTGTTATGATGTCCCGGACACGCTAAAGACATTCCTGAAACCATTAATATAGACTGTGGTATTTGGGAGGCTGCTGCACAAAACCGGACATTATGGCGAACGCCTATCAGAAGAGCGGCAATGACTTGCAAGGCTTCTAGAAAAAGGGCATCTGAACAGGGCGGACAGGCTGGTAAACCTCGTATAACAGGCTGCCCATTTACCTACAGACACTGTTCCCGGCCTTCATTGTCCTAGATCCTTCTGGGCTCCCAATGGGTCACCGCAGGAGTCACTCAAATCAGCTATAGTCTCATGATGGATGGAAAAAAAAAAGTGCCTTGTTTTCACGTGTGATGTACGAAATTATCTTCTAGTCCTTCCGCAGCCTTTCTTACAGATGTCATGAAATACCCGTTAAAATTAACTGCGAAATTATTTACTCATTATTTACAACTGATTTTACCTACTATTATATTAACATGTTTACTTACGTCACCGAAAAGCAATGTTATCTCTCGACACATGCACAGTATTATAAATCGGCATGGTAGTGTAACGGCTAGTGTAGAGTTTGAAATCTGCATCAAGTGGAATTTTCTTTCCCGAAAAAATTTTTTTTTTGTTTAGCTCTCAGGTCGACCCAGCGTAAAATGGGTATCAGGTGAAATCCTGGGAAATAAAGGCGTTCGGCGTGATGTTGAAAGCATCACTGATCTAGTGACGAAAAGTACATAAGCACGAGTCTAGCATCATATGTCTGATGGGCCACTGGATCCTTTACTTATTACCCGTTTTTTTTCTCTCTCTCCAGGAAAGAATGATGCCCCACCTCACCATAAAATGTCTAACAAAAGGTACTGACATGCACCTTAAAGTGTCTATTACTGTGGTATCGACAATATTATGCTTAAAGAAGTGCCAGTACTGCGAACCGTGAGAAGAAAATCCTTATTTACTGATTTAAGAATTGACAGCATAATACATAAGACAGGCTTCGCTCCCGCAGCAATTGTCATAAGGCGTAGATAATTACTACTTACGATGTATTTCAGTTAACAATGCCAGCAAGATAAAGCTATAACAATGCCAACACGATAACGCTATAACAATGCCAGCAAGATAAAGCTTTAACAATGGCTGCA